AAACTGAGTAGTAAACATGGCCATTGCGTGGCTAAATTCACTTCAGCTATGTGTTACAATATGTGCAGGAGACTTTTTCAAGGAGAAGCAGAAATCTTCGTTTTGAGGAAAAACTTGAATGACAAAGTTTTCTTCTCACCGGTGCATCCGCCAGGATCCTAAAAAAGGGTGGGGGAGGACAAAGAAAGATTTTTACCTTTGATTTTCAGCTTTCTAAATAAAAACTGAAAAAAAAGGTGTGGGACAAAGAAAGATTTACCTGCGTCATTAATTTTCAGTCGTTCATCGAAATTTAACTCCCTGAAGGTTGATGCAATAATATGTCGAATACCGATGCAAAATGTTTCCTCTTATATCATAGTGTTTCCAGGCTTAAATGACAGTCAAGGAACTGGGTGAAAATGAAAGCCTTAAAACTGCTATAATTCTTAGTTTAAGTTGTTAATTTATAAGTTTTCCTTACCTTTAACTCAGACGAAATGAGGTGCAACCAGCAGTATCTGTTTCTGTATCGATCCAGCGACAAATTACAGTGTTCGTTTTTATTGAACGCAGTAAGTTCCCCGTTGCTAATGGTTTTATGCGTGGTTAATGAAATCATCCAGTTTTTTCTCTTGTGGCGTGTGCAAATGCCAAGCAGACTGGGAGGTAAAGAAGTTGAGAAATGTTGTTCATTAATGTGGAAACTATGCCCAGGATTAGTTGAGCTAAGAAGAATCAATTAATTTGAGAGATTCAACAACAGTACAGAACTTTAATTACTTATTATTTTACAGGCTGAGTCTGCGAGTATAGTCTGCATTTGTCACTCACCTATATTCAGTAATGAGCAGAATCATTTTTTCATGAGACTTCCTCAGAGAAACTCTCCATGGCCTTGAGTGTTTTTTTTTTTAATGTATTCATTGCTATGCGACCTTCCAAATAGACTTTCGTGGATCAAACCATTCTTGTATCACCAACGATACACAGTTAATAGTCCAACCTATTTATCATTCTTCTTCTTCTTGTTACTATTATTATTATTATTATTATTATTATTATTGCTCAGTAATTTTTTCATTTTTTTCAGATATTCAGTGAGTCATCATGAAAGTGTACTGACTAACTTGAGATGAGCCCTATCATTAGCAGTTCTCGCAGACAAACTCGCTGCTGGGCCAAATTTTGGCCGCAACGCTGATTGGCTTTTTAGCTCACTGGATAAGCATCGGTCTGACGAGCGGAAGGCCGCTGGTTCACACCCCGGTCGGACCAACACTCAGTAAGCTGGGTCTTTAAATAAATAAATGAATTCTCAGGCATTCTAATTCATTTTTCGCTAATACGAAAGCCACTCAGTAAATAGAGAAGAGACGTTAATCAGCGTTTTTGAAGGGGACCTATATCTTGGTAAGTGGTCTTGGTAAACCATTGCGCCCCTTCATTCAATCATCCTCAACTCGAACACCAGTAGGTTGACTTATTCATATTTTGGAGTGAGCCTCCTTACTTTTATGAAACTTCCTCGACAATTGTTATCTTCCCTTTGCAGCAGCGACACCTAAGAAGCAGAATTTTCTTCAAATAAGTTTGTTATCCTGTGCCTGGAGACTGTAATTGCAGCTTCAAGCGCGCCCGACTCCAACCGAACGGAAAGTCTGTGGCACCGGACGAATTTTCAGCCGGTTGAGTACGTTTTCCGTTCACGCGGAGCCACCTTAACCGTACAAAAATTTAGACGTCTAACCGTTGAAGAAAATTTGAACGCCAGAATCGAGGTCAAGTTTTAAATCAGCACGGTCGAAAATTTTATCGGAGCGGTGAGATCACCATAACTGCTTAAGAGTTTTAACAGCAAAGGAGTAGTTGCGCGGATGCGTGGTAAATAAGCTTGTACATGCCATTTGAGTTTTCTATAGTGACGCTCTACGCAAGAGCAGATGGTAAAACCAGTTACACAGGTTAAAACTCAACTTGTTTCGGCAGTTTCGTGGGAACTGAGCGAAGGTATTGAATTATATTTCTTGATTTCTTGGTGTGAACGAAGCGTCTGGCAGGTCAAGTGATAAAGCACATCACAGACAAACAGGGGATTTTTGGCAAGGATGTCTACATTTTCTTTTTTTCTTTTCGTAGAGGAAGTTATAAATCGAGATATTTTTGGAATAATTTTCTTCCAGAAGGGGAAGTCATTATTTTGAACAAAACTGTTCGACTTCCCAATGCTTTTATGTGCAAAGCAGAACGATTAATAGGCAATACAATTAGGTACACGCAAACTTTGTTAAGCTTCCGGCAAACTTATGATCGAGAGAGGATATCCTAAATTGACTCTGATACAATTAGTTGAAAGATGTAATCATGTGCACACAGTCGAAGTTGTAATCTTTCCCTCCCTTCGATCCTTAATGCGATCCTTCAATTTTGAACATTATATTTTCGAAGCAGTGAGTCAATGATTTAGTGTCCCGATTGTGCTTGTGAAATGCTTAATGTTTATATAAATGTTAATTGAAAGAATTAAAAGCTTTATTTTTCGTTCTCCACAATAATTGCTAACGTCAGTCAAGAAAAATAGCTTGAAAACTCGCTTTACAAAGTTACTCGCAAATATGTACGAAATATAAGGATACCCTATCTTACCCAGCCTTGAACAACTACTAGTCTAAGATTACCGTAAAATTCCGAAAATAAGCTCCGGGGCTTATATTTTTCAAAGGCCCTTTTTGAGGGGCTTATTTTTGGAGGGGCTTATATTCGGGGGGCTATCTATGGAGGGAAATTTGCGTTTCAAAATCGATTGAGCTAGCCTTGCAGTTGGAAGTAAGTTTACCGTTTCTGCTTGGTTTTACTTTGTATTTGAGGGCAATTTCCAAATACAACCCCCAGGGGGGCTTATATTTGGAGGGGCGATTTAATGGAGGGTTTTTTCCGTTACGAGTTTCGGGAGCTTACATTTGGAGGGGCTTATACATGGAGGGGCTTATTTACGGAATTTTACGGTATTCCTCTAGGGTTTTGGTTGGGTGTCACGTGACTTGGTAACGCCCCTTAGGTCTGTCCCGATTTTGCTCGGCAACTTTTGGCGTTGGGAGCAACTTTTTGCAGTTTTAGCAGTTTCGAGCAACTTTGCCTTTCTGAGGAATTTTTTTGAGCAAAATATATGTTTAGAATACATGTAAAGCCCAAGAAAGCAAACCAACCTTAAAAATTCAATTTAAACGAATTTCTTGAATATTTATCAACCTTTTGAACACATAACCTTTCACTTAACAACGTTTCCAAAACCTAGAAAGGCATTTAAATGTGCCTAAGAGGCCTAAGCAGCTAGTACATAAATAATCACAAGAAAACGAAAAAGGTAAGCTCGATGCATATTTTGCTAATTTATAGAGCAAAGAATGATTCTCACACAACGGCTTGAAAATTTGTTTGCTGTATGAATAATTAATTAGCTAAGAGGAAATAACAATTCAATGAATTTATCCTATTACCCATCCTCGGAGACCCAGGGGCGGTGAGTCGGGCTTGGAGAAAAGGCGCGACAAAAGTTTTCAA